ACATGGTGCGAGCAAGCAAGGTCCATGCATTCCTGGATATGTAGTTAGCAGAGTTTCCAGAAGTCATATTGAAGCAGGAATCTCCTGGATGGACAGGAAAAGGGCACAGGAGCAAATCCTGCTTGCCGAGGGCTGAATGCTCAGTGGGGACAAGCTGGCAAAAGGCAGAGACATTGTGTCCAAGCAGCTTTTCCCATCCAAACCATCCCCGACAGCCGAGTGCTGTCAGCGGGGGGAAAACACTTTCAGGGAAGGCTGTTGCTGTGCTTGGTTCCCCTGGCAAAAGCAGGAAGCGGAGTGACGGCAGTGCCAGGGCTGCAGAATGTGTTTGAAGAGAGCGTTTCCGGGGCAAAAGCAGCGACAAAACTGCGGTAATGCCAAGTTCCTTTCGCTTTCAGCGGGGAAGCGCCAGCGGAGGAGACAGGAGTGGTCCCGGGAGACGGCAATAAGGTTTTTATTTGATGTCTGCAGCGGGGGAAGCGCTTGGCTGGAGTCGGGGAGTCCAAACTGCTTGTGAGGAGCTCCAGAACCTGCCTGGAAAGCGCCTCGGGGCCGAGGAGAGGAGGGAGGTTCCCGGGTTAGCAGCAATCCGAAATCTTGGGATTGCAATCGCTTCCCAAAGCCTTTGCTGCAATCGCTTCCCCAGCCTTTGCTAACGCCGCCCTGCAGCTCCCTGATCCATCTGGCTCCGGGGGATTCACTGCAACATGATATCCCCGTTGGGGGTGGTGGGATTAGCATGTCGGTTATCCCAGTTCCGCCTTTTCCTCAGGTCAGAGCGGCTAAATTACACTGCTGCAATCCCTCTGCATCCTGTTTTTTTTTTTTTTTTTCTCCCAGTGCATTCCTAGCTCTGAAGGCTGAATAAGCAAATTCAGGTGTGCCCATTAAAGTGGCCATCACTTTTTTCTCGTTGCGTTTTAGTGGGATTTCAGGAGATGCTGGAGTTTCTCTTTTGCTTCCTTGTGGGAAATTGCTGCAACTTTTCGTACCCGCCAGGCTCCTTTGGATGTAAAGTAATGCATGCAAAGCAAAGTCAGGCCAATGATGGAAAAGCGATTGCAACTTTAGGTAGCAAATGACCATTTATGGGCCTTTATTAAAAAAAGAAAAAAAAAGAGCTAAAATGAGAATTTATCCCCTTTTAGCATAAATTGTGTCCCCCCTTTTTTCTTTTTTTAACACTCTTTTCTCCCTTTCTCTCTCCTTTCTTAGCTCCTGCTCAGGTCCCACAAGGAGGATGGTCATTTTGCCCCCTGCTAGCCACTCTCTGCCTGGTTTTATTTGCATTTTTGCCCTCCACCTTCAACAGCTGCAGTCAGGTAGGGATGCCCATGGTCCCACCAGTCCTCAGCAAACTGCTTCCAGCTGGAATTTCTTCCTTAAAGAGGCTCCCAATGGTCCATTTATGTGCATAGCAGTGACATAAAAGATAGCAGCATCCCCCAAGATCCTTATTTCTGGTCTTCTAGCCATACTGCTGTGGCATTTGGGGCTCCTGGGGGAATACGATGAGGCAGATGGGTTAATTCAATACTCGCTGCCATTTCCATCTTCTGGGAACAGAAGATGCCGAAGCACCCGCTCCCTTTTCTGGGCAGAAAACCATTAGATTGGCTCCATATTGACACCCCTCAACTCAATAATGTGTCTTGGAGCACCAGAGTGGTGCCGTGGGCAGGATCTTCCTGGTGTTTTGGGTTGTTCTTCCCAGCTCCGTTCAGGGTGACGGCACCGGCGCAGCCCGTGGCAGCCGCGGTGGGGCAGGACGTGGTGCTGCCCTGTCGCCTGGCACCGGAGCAGAGCGCCCGGGCCATGGAGGTGACGTGGTTCCGGGGTCACTTCTCGCCCTTCGTGCACCGCTACAAGGCGGGAACGGACCAGCACGTGGAGCAGATGGCGCAGTACCAAGGGCGCACGGAGCTGCTGCGCGACGGCCTCGACAACGGCAGAGTGGACCTGAAGATCTTCGGCATCCGACTGTCCGATGAAGGGAATTACACTTGCTTCGTTCACGCCGATTCGGACTACGAGGAAGCTGTCCTGGAGCTGAAGGTGACAGGTCCGTAGTTGACATCCCCGTTTCTGCTGGAGATGGGTCTCAGTATCTCCACTTTGTCCTTAGATGAAGCTGCTCCTGTCTGCCCTTCATCCCAGTGGAAATTTTAGGGAGTCCTTTTGGAGCAGAACTTTGCTAAATCCCTTCTTTTTCCTACTTAAAAATAATAACCAAGATCTCCTGAAGAGCGAGATGCGTTTGCTGAGCAGTGGTGAGGAGCTCAGGAGATGTCCCACTTTCTTGACAGTTGTCTTAGTGCTATTTTTGCAGGGTGCAAGAAAAAATAATGCAGTGGGGAAATAAAATAAGAAGGTCTCAGTCCGTCGGGGGGTGTTTGAGTGGCCAAACTTGAAGTTTCTCTTGCCAGGGTCTCCAGAGCAGATTGCTTTGGATCATGCAAAAAGGTGGCGCGAAACACCTCCGTGCTCCTGCTTCTGATTGTAACTGACGCTTGACCCTGAAAAATTGGGATTTCTCCAAAATTGGGGTTTATTCCCCCTTCTCAGGCAAAGGAAAGGGAATAACCTGGGATGCTCTGCTTTCTCCCAGCTGCTGGTTCAGCACCGCTCATCTCGCTGCAGAGCTACGAGTCCGGGGGCATCCGCGTGTCGTGCCGGGGCTCCGGCTGGTACCCGCGGCCCCAGGTGCAGTGGACGGATAACCAGGGCCAGCTGCTGCCCCCGGCCTCCCAAAACGTCGCTCGGGACGAGAACGGCCTCTTCGAGGCTGAGAGCGCCGTGGTCCTGAGCCGGGCTGCAAACCAGCGGCTCTCCTGCTCCATCCGGGACACCCTGCGCCACCACGAGAAGCGCTCGGCTTTTTCCGTGGCGGGTAAGCGGCGAACAAAGGCGTCTTCGTTGCTATTTTATTGTTTAAGGGCTGTTAAAAAAAATATTTAAAAAAACCCCAAATTTTAAAATTCCACCCCAAATTAAAATTTAAACCAAATTTTAATTAAATTTAATTTTAAAAATTTAATTTTAATTAAATTTAATTTTAAATTAATTTAATTTATAAATTAAATTAATAATTATTAATTAAATTTTAAAAATTTATTTTAATTAAAATTAATATTAAAATAATTTAATTTATAAATTAAATTAATAATTATTAATTAAAATTAAATTAAAAAGTATGGCATCTGGTCGTGCTTGCTTGGTGTCGAAATTCATGGGTTGCATCTTCAAGGGTGGGTTTAAGGGTAAGAAAAAAGACATTCTCATGTATTTTCAGTAGCTGCATCAAAATTCATGGGTCCCACCAGTGTGGGCTTAAGGGGAAAAAACTTCTATATTAAAAAACTTTTTTGTATTAAAAAAACTTTTTTTATATTAAATATAAATGTTGGTAATGCTGAGATCAAGTAAAAATAAGATACCCACCCTTGCCCTCAATCTTCCTGGCTGCAAAATTTTAAATTCATTTTTCCTACAGCACGCAGGGACTCTCCTGTTTTTTCCACCCAGTGGTGAACTGAAATAGTGTGTGGAAATATTGCATGGATTTCAGCTGCATCCGACTCCCTTTTTATTGTAATGATGAACAATTTGGGAAAAGTTGGTTTCCCGGGCAGGCCCATGGTGCTCTCTGAGTGCCATTACTCTGTGCTGCCATTTTGCTGCTAAACCAAAGAATTTAATAAGAGTTAGGAGTCATTTTTTGCTTATTTTAATTCCTATGTTACCATTTTGCTGCTAAACCAAAGAATTTAATAAGAGTTAGGAGTCGTTTTTTTTGTTGTTACCCAATAAGTCAGCTCCTGAAAAGAAGAAAGCCCAGTTTCGTCAGGAATAATCCCATGGGAAATCCAATTTCCTGCAAAATATTTGCCTCGACTGAGCAATTTTTGCTGTTTTTTTGGTTGGTGTCCTGCCCTCTTCTCATCATGCACCGCAATGAGATCTGCAGCCCCCAGTGGAATTTGCACTGGCTTGGGATGGGCTTGTCCAAAGCAAATATAATTGCATCCCCACTTATTTTATTTTATTTTATTTTATTTTATTTTATTTTATTTTATTTTATTTTTTCAGATCCCTTTTTCCAAAACGCCCATCCGTGGAAGATTGCCTTAAGTTTGGTCTCGGTCTCCGTGGTTGCACTCTCCATTGCCACCATTTTTCTATTTAAAATTAAAGGTAATGCTGCGTGGTGGCCGTTGGGCGGTTGGCATGAGGGAAAATAAGGGAAATCCCTTATTTTTTACCCAAACAACACAAAATCCATGGGTTGTGTAGTCACTGAAGCACTTCCATGGGCTATTGAAAACAAAATGAAATAATTTGCATTTCTCTCTTTCTGATGTAGGAAAGCACGAGAAAAAAATCGGTAAGTCTTATTTTTGAAAAAAACTCTTTATAGTTGTAATTTTATATATGGAAAAACTGGAGCATTCCTGGAAAAATAATGAAGGCTCCACTGGGCACAGTTTTCTGGGACAACAGGAGGGAGACCAGTGGCTGTTTGCAAATATGAAATTACTGTGCGATGTTGGAAGGAATTACTGTGGGATGGGAAAATCGTGACTGGGTGACGTGTTGAGGGCAACTTTGCTTTTCAAAGGCCCTTTGGTTGGTGATTCCTGGGGTTTCCGGGCAAAAATGCGAGATTTTGGTGATAATGCTCTCTTTTCGTTTTGCTTTTCAGCATTGCAGGCAGAGGCGTTGAGTAAGTCTTGCTCTCCTTCCCTCCTCCCTTCTCCAGGCATAATTCTTCAGGAAAACTCTCAAATATTTCTATTTATCCTCCCTTTCAGACTAAATGCTCTTTCCGTGTTTACATTTAAGTGCTTTACCCCACTCCCTGTCCAAAATCCTACCAATGTGCAAATATAGCCCCAAAATCATTATCATTCCCTGTTTGGCTGGCAATGCTTTTCTTAGCCCTCTTGTTTTCATTTAAGTACTGAAACAATATGGGAAAGCTAATGTTTTTGGGGAGCAACTCATGGAAAACTAAGCTGTGCGAATTTTGAATGCCATCCTAAGGAGGAAAATATAATAAGAATATACTATAGATATAATATGAAAGAGAATAAGAAAGCTGGATTGCATTCTCCTTAAATGAATTTGGAGCTGCTTTGCAATAAATCTGTGGATTTGGCTCCTTGAGCCAAAGCAGCCCTCATCCTTATAGTCCTTTAACTGGGATTTTGGGGAAATACGTGTCAAATGAAGGGTCCACTGGGCACAGCTGACCATTGCCACTGGGCAAACCATTGACTTGTCTGTATTTCTGGTTATTTTTAGAGAGCCGTGATGCAGAGATTGGTGAGTCTCCTGTTTTGCAAAGGATTTTTGAGTGATTCTATACATCATTTTTTTTAAAATGCTTTTAAAGTGTAAAGTGAATTGGGAAGAGCAAATCTGAGCAGCAAAAAAATAAAGACTGTAAGAAATTCTGCTTGGGCTGGGTGCCCCATGGGGAAATGCTGGGAGCTTCCTGTGCCACCAAGGGCTTTACCTGGCCCCATGCAGCACATGAGTGTAGAAAAGGGCCCATCTGAAAGTGCATCCCATCCTGACCCTTTCTTTTTGTTATTTTTCAGAGGAACAAGCTGCAGAATTGGGTGAGTGTCATTCTTGTTCCTCCATAGAAAACTTTCCATCACGGATAGGCCCACTTGGGTATTGCATTTAGGCCCTGGTTTTGCTTTGATTTTCTTGCACAGAGCCTAAATTGCCATTGTCTATAGCTAGGCCTGGGGTGGGGGTCATTTGATAACCCTATAGTTTTGCTGCAAAAAAAGAAAAAAAAAGGGAAGAAAAATGTTTTTAGTAAATAGTACATCAGCTTTTAGTACAGAAAACCTGAGGCAATAAAAGGATGTAACATATATAGATGCTTTCACACGGGATGAAGGTAAAAGACTTAATGAAAGACATATTTTCTTTCTGGGAAAAGACCAAGTCAGATTCCTGAGGGGAGAGGAGAATATTGGAATCATTTTGGAAACTGGTTTTTTTGTGCTTTTAACCTACTCCCTGTAATCCTACCACACTAGGAAAAAATCTCTTCTTCTCAAAGGCAGTAGACGCAGACCCTAAATACATTTAAATTACATTTTTTTTTACATTAATAAAAAAAGAGATGGAATTTCCCCACAGCCTTAGACATTCTGCTGGTGATATCATTACCCGCTGCTACCCCCCTACCAAGAGCATTTTCGTATAACTTCTCTGAGATTCTGATTTTCTTTTCTTTTTTGCTTCTATTTTTAAAGCATGGAGAAGATACACGGCGCCTATAGAAGAGGGTAATTAAAGTTTGGTCCTTTTGGGCTTTTTTGAATCTATTCCCCAACGACACCGGGAGGAGAAAACGGAGTGTGTCTCTTGCACCCTAGACCAGCTGTGTTCTCTCAGCTGCTCAAGGTAGTTTCTGGAGCAGATATGGCCCAGAAAAGAGGTCTCCAGCCTTTGAATGTCCAATGAGCCATTCCCCATTCCCTGAAATCACAGTCAAGGCAGCACGGGGCTGCGCGTGGCCAAATTGTCTCCTTTTTCTGATAACAGCTCCAACTAAGACTACAGATCCTCCCTTTCTGCATGTTCTCCTCTCTTATTCTCCAGCCTTCTTCTTGTGTGCTCTGTAGGCCCATCAGTATTGTTTTTTCCTCCTTTCTCCGTGTTAAATGTTTGGGTTTGGGATGCTGAATTATCTTGTTTGCTCTAATCCCTTTGTGCTGGTTCTTGTCCCACGGTGACTTTGGTAGGACCAGAGGGGCTTCTGCCAATCCTCAGTTTGCAGGGAAAAGTGTAATCCTTATTGGATGGGGGCATGCTCCATTTTCAAGGAAGTCTGTAGAATCCTGGTCCTCAATGAGGAACGCTGGCTGTGCTTTAGAGACATGGGGAAGTTAATAATCTGAAGGTCTCTTAATACTCTGCTTTCTCTGCTCAGCATCTTCATTTTGGTTCATCGTCAGATCCTCGTACAAATATTGTGGCCTTGTGCAACTTCTTGCTACCTTTTTCTTCTTCCTTTTGCAACCCACCTCCTGGGTGAGCGATGCCCTTGACTCCTTGTCTCCTTCTATCACGCAGCAAATGTGATTCTGGATCCAGACACGGCCCATTGTGACCTTGTCCTGACTGACGACTGCAAAAGCGTGACGCGAAAAGACGTCCCGCAGAACCTCCCGGACATCCCCGCGAGGTTTATGCCGTGGCGCTGTGTGCTGGGCCGCGAAGGCTTCACCTCGGGGAGATACTACTGGGAGGTGGAGGTGGAGGATGGTGGAGGATGGACGGTGGGGGTGTCTAGAGAAGACGTGAGAAGGAAGGGCGACATCGAGTTCAAACCAGAGGAGGGCATCTGGGCAGTGGGGAAGTGGGCAGGTCAATTCCAAGCTCTGACCTCCCCTCAACGCACTTTCTTTTCCGAAATCCGGAGTCCCAAGCGGATACGGGTGTCCCTGGATTACGAAGAGGGTCGGGTGGCATTTTTCAGTGTTGATGAGAAGACTCCCGTCTTCACATTTCCACTGGTGCCATTCAACGGGATAAGAATCTTCCCGTGGGTCTGGCTGGGTCCTGGGACAAAGCTCAAAATGTGTCCCTGACGAAGAAAACCAGTTTTTTGAATCAGACCTCATTACCTCAAAAGAATCACAGGAAGATTTAGTTTGGAAGGAGCTTGTGGAGGTCTCTGCTGCCACCTTCTGCTCGGACCAGGGCTAACTTCAAGGTTAAATATGTGGGGTTGACTTATCACAATGTTCAACTGTGGCCACCCCACCGCCTTTCTGGACCTCTGTCACGGTTTGCACTTTCAGGGGAGAGAATTCCTCCCCGATTCTTGGTCAAAATTTCCTTGGTTGTGACTGTTGCTTTGCTGTGTGAATGGGGCTTCTGTTAAAAAGCATGGTATGCCTTAAATAGGGAGAGGTTTTTAATGCACAGAATAAAGTTTTTTCAATGGGATTTTTCTATCTTTGAAAAATTAATGCCTTAGGCATTGTCTCCACCTCCTTTGTAGCCACTGGATAGTTGTAGGCACTTTGGGGGACACAGTTCATCATGTCCCCAAGAAGACAGCTAAGGCCCAGCCGTGGGATTTGCCCATGGATATGCTTGTCCTGGTCCCTGGCTGCAACATGAGCCTGGGTATCTAGTTCACCCATAGACATCTAACACTCTGGAGATGTTTCCATCCCAAAAATCAGCTGCCAAGTGCCAAATCAGCTGCAAGACTTGAGATAGATCGGGGGCTTGTGGTGAATGAGGGCTCCAAAGCTCCATGAAGTGTCACAGATTGATGGACATGGGCATAGGCAGTGTGACCTTGGCCCCTGCTGTCCCTAAAAGAGGCTGGTGGGAAGGTAAAGATGTGGTCCCCACTCGCTGTGATGGGGAAGCAGCACTGTGCTCCTCCAGCCAGAGGTGACGCAGATGCATCTTGGACACCAGCACCTCATGGATAAGAATCTTGCCCTTCTTCATTCCTGGGGTCATGTCTGCTGTTGGCGAGATGCTGAGTGTCAGGATGGGACACCAGAAAGGAGAGAGCCCAACGGTGTATGGCCCCGTTGTAGGAAAATCCCCCTGAGAGCTGTGGGGAAGGAGAGAGGGGAAGCAAAAGAGGGATGGGGAAAATATCTGGGAGGAGAGACAAAGAGGAGCCTGGGGGATTAAGATACTC